AGATGTCACTCAAAATTTCTTTCAATAATTCAGATCTTGTCCCATATCACTGTGCCTTTTGGAGGATAAGATGCATCGCTAAAAAATTATAAATCTGAGATGCATGTCCCTACGTGTTATCAGTGTCTTTGAATATGAAGCCCTAAAAATCGCGCCTCAAAGTGCCTCAAAAAAGTAAAAAAATCTTTCAGTGACCGCTTTTGCCATACTCATTTCTCCGATATACTTAAGTGTTATAAGAACCGTTGGGAAAACGGTTTTTGAAATTTCGATTTCCAATCATAAATATCTTGATAATCAGACAGGCGATCGGCTTGTAAAAGTCATGGGATTCCTGACTGATCCAAAGGTTTATAATGATGATTTCAGCATGAGCTAAATCCAGGATTTTGTTTAGAATCTGAGGCAAAGATTCCCATTCCCTTTAACATGTTAACATATTGCCTGTCATAGATTGATCGGGTATCTGATATTTGCACCAACGACACTTACTCCAGGCTTTATTTTTTCAAAATTATAGGATTAGGGTTCAGTTTTCGATTTTGGGGTATAAGGGTATATGGTTAGTCTTAGGTTTAGGTTTATAATGTTTGGCCCAGGTCTTAAGTCATTAACCACTGTTGGTGTATGAAATTTACTGCGGAACAATTTGTGTCGTCTGAGCGTTAGTCGTACAAAATCAATATAGCTAGACCAGGAACATGTTAACTTTATCACTTCCTTCGATAGACACGTCACATTGTGAATAAATCACCAGTAAGTTTGTCTTATGGAATCTAAATAAAGTACAGCATGTTTTGACGCTTGATTGGTAATCTTTAATAGGAGTACCAGGTGTGACGTTGTCTTGTTCACCCCAGTGGGCCTTAAACGGGGTACGACACAACCTGTGACCGTCATATACAAACTCAAATAACTTTTCTAAAACAGATCAAAAATAGCCTATATTCAAAAATTTAAACAAAAAACAGAAACCGCATATCAATACCCATCTAGGGTAGACGTGTTAACAAAAATTATGTTGGTGAAATAAACTGTTTAAAAGGAAATTGTTGTTAATCAATGTATCATGATGTTAGTATGCTTACCGATACCTAAACTTTGATTTGATTTTGAGGATCATTATGAATACAACATGCCATTTAGAGGAAACTTCTCATGATATGTAAAGTGAGGCGATAGAGGAAAACAAAATCATACATAAAATGTTATCGCCTCCAAATATGTTACTGCTGCACGTTATTAGAGTAGCTGTTTTTTATATGTTTAATCATGCAGGCCTATTTGTTTTATACAATATCGCAAAAATGTACGTTTAAATCACGTTATAAATTACAAGACAAGTGAAACGACAATATTACAACAACAACAACAAAACAACCTTACTTTCCTCACTGCATTTTTAAGCATTTAAAATTTAAAGTCTTTTCATAAATTTGTTTAAATAATACCTTTTGAATAATTGACAATGTGGACGTGCCCGCGTATTTACACTCATCCCCTGTTAAAGTGATCATGGACAGATGGCAACAAGCCCCTCACAACTGGAGTAAGATAATCAACATTGAAAAATTGTAGTGCACAAGGCTGATGGAATATGGCAACTGCTTTGTATGGGGCCATTTTTGTTAGCAATGATGACCTAATGTTAATATTAATCGGTTGACCGTTGACCTTTAATCGCAAACTGAATGTGAAGGAGATAACGAATCGGAGTGGAGTTCGTTAAGGAGCAAGGAGATTCGTGAACATCCGCATGACCAGTCGAGTATCCAGACCTCAGAAGCAGGAGGGGAGGGGGAGGGGGTTGGCAAAGCAATTCAACTTATTGTGATCCATGTACTTTAAGTTAGGAGGGCTCTGTCTTTCGTGAGGGGGAGGCAACGCCCAAAATGACTTATTTTGAGAAAGTCTGTTGAAAAATTTGTCTAGATTAAGTTCATATCTTGACTTTAATTCCTTTAACTTGCGTACAACTTTAGAGGCTGCGTTTCTTTTTTCTTCAAAATGGTGTCAGGTGTGGCAAATTACCCCCACCTCTTACTCATCCTTTTAATACACCAGTGAACGAAGCTGCATGCATGCGTTGTCAGACTATACATGTATATATATGGTACGACGCTTGTCGGGTTGAAACATGATAAATTAGTTGAGTAGCGCAAATTGGGAGCAACAGGGCATTACAACTAATTAAGAGAGTTAGTAGTGCCCTTGATTGAAGGTTAATTGGGGAGAAGTAATCTAGACAAGTAGGCGTAGGGAAAATGGAAGGGTATATTAAACTCAGGCGTACAGCTAGGATGTGCTATGTTATGGCTTGCTTTGCGATGTAATGTTCGCATTATGAGACGGAATTCAATGTGTATAGCTATTACAATTCTTGTTACAACGTTGCAGGGTAACTGTCATCATATAACTGATTGACTCCAGCTCTGGTTAATATGAAAATAACAATCGTTGTAGATGATATTAAACTACCTACGAGTAATACCTGTAAACAACCTAGTAGTAATACGCGGCTGCCTTGAGCAAGCTGCATGCTCTGCTTTCTTCAGTTTCTTGCTGTCTACTCCTTAAAGATTATACCGAGGCGAAGATTGTTGGCGATGAGTATCCAGTATATTTAGTCAGTGTGAGATGGATGGAATTTCCCCTCTAGGCCAGCAGTAAGATTCAAATTATTACAAAAAAGCATGTAATGATTGAATAAAAAAAATCACCATGTTCAATTATGAAGAACAAAAATAATGTTAGGATCATTCGTCCCCGTCTTCATAACAATAATTATACAATTTATCCACAATGATAGCTGTTAAAAAATCCTCACAGAATTTTGTTTGTCTTTTTCTTTCTATGTTTTTTATTTTGCGAACTGAGATAAAATTTCGCAGTCCCCATACAATGCACCGTCGGTTCATGGGATATCATGTGAGCAGCGAAATACGATTAAGGAAACGTGATTTAAAGATCCATTGCATGTTAAAAATAGCCTTCTTAACCCATATTCCATAATCCCTAATAAGCCGTAAAAAAATATTTGTTGACAGTGATCGAACATTTCTCTTTCGCTTTTGGTCATATTTGAGAGAACCAATTCATTTCTTGCCCCGTTAGTATACCTTTGGAAAAATCAGGCAAAATCAAAAGGGTTGTTAACACTGATAATATTTTCCCTTGAGAGCAAAAGCGATCATATGGTGATAGGTGCATGCCCCCGTTTGAACTTGGACGAATTTCAGACATGTCCACATACGCGTAGAGATGGGAGCAGACAAGAGGGTATAAGCTCCATCATTTTGTTGAAAGAATTTGTATAATTATTGGTTATGTGAAAGTGCCTTCGACCTGCCTTATAATTGTGTTGAGTAAAGTGCGAAGAAGGATGATGTGAAAACGCTCCCAAGTCATATCCAATACGTCAAAAAACCCATCCGAATCGCACACTGAATTGTAAAAACGCTGCAATTGGAGACGGAAAGAAGAGTGTATGATGTATTGAGGATAACTTTAATGGTGCGCTATGAGTGTGGCAGAGGCGATGGCGCCGCTTGCTTTCTAATGGTAAACGATATCAGAATATTCGAGATTTTGTTTCATGAAGTTCTTACAACATTATTGATATTATTCCTACAAAATCGTTCAATGTCTTATCCAGATCAAATATTGGCCTATTCTATATTGATGAAAAACAAAATCGTTCTATAGGTGATGTGTGTGTTTTCTTCTTTTCTTTCTTTGAAGAAAAAAAAAGAAAGAACACAATTTTCATATTTTTCCGTTTCTCTTCTTTTTCGTCATCTCCGTCGTCATTCTCTACCTCAACGTATTTTACTCCTTTTTTCCTGTCTTTCCTCTTCATTCCTCTTTTCTTCTTTTGTCTTCTTCCGCTTCCTCTATTTCTTCTACTTCCTCTTCTTCCTCTTCTTCCTCTTCTTCTTCTTCTTTTTCTTCTTCTTCCTTCTTCTTCTTGATCTTGATCTTTGTCTTTTGTAGTCTACTTCTTTATCTTCTTTTCCCCCTACTTTTCCATACAGTATTTTGGAGTAGAGGAACCTTGTATTAGTGTGCCAAGGTGCATGTGTGAGCCGCGCCCCGAGCAAAACTTAAACTGATTTCTGTATACAAAAGAGTGTTCGATGTAAAAGGGGGAAAAAGTTCTCCTTGTTCTGTCGCAATGATAACCCAAACCAGCTGTTTTTAAAACGCCTTACTGTTCAGAGAAGAAGATGCTAATATACGAAGCTACAAACAAATGCGACTGGGGGGGGGGGGGAACAAACATGTAATTGTTGTGGTTTCTTACTGTTATATCAGGTTTTGTCTTCTTCCAGATGTTAGTGGAAAGGGGATGTAGGAGATAATTGTTCATTTTTTTGTTTGAATTTCATTGATGCGTTCAATTAATACGAAATAACTTGATATTACAAAATATATATAACAAGATTTTCAGACATTAACAAATTACATGTACTTTTAAACACATGATGAAAATATACACATGGGAAATTAAAAAATTTACGACCAACAGAATTTGTGAACGTAAGGGATTGCCACCATGAGCTAGTTCATTTAAGTCAATGGCGGCCTCAAGGTAGAAAAGGCGACTTTATTTAAAGGTTATTATTTTGTGGCAACATAAATTTCAATTTCTGAATGATTTCTCGCCTCGAGAAATACATATGAAGAGTAAAGAAACATGCACATCGGATTCTTTTTGCTTTGCCCATAATTTTTAATCCCGATATCCAAAATATGGTTTGAAAATGCCGACCATGGGGAAAGGGGTATCATACACAGTGCGGCATGGCTTCGTTTCAATGACATGGGCAATCATTTACAAGGTCCATTAATCTTGTTACATTATGCATAGGCTTATTGTAATATTTTCCTCCTTGATTGTGCAAATATAATAATTTTCTCTCTTGAATATAAAGTGAACTTATCGACAAAATAATACAGATAAAGTAAACGATGTTTATTTTGTCATTCTTTTCAGACTTCCGAGATCGTGACAAACCAGCGTGGCACCGGACATCAAAGATAAGGGTAAGTCCTCATAAAACTTCATGATCAACTTTGATCATTAACACTCTGCTGGGTTCCCTTTAAATCTATTTCAGTGAGAAAAACAAGCAGGGAGGATAATTTACCCGCTTCGTATGTAGCACATAAATCAAGACAGACAGGCCATGCATATTAACGCAAATGAGATGGTCTGGGACGAGGAAGGGAAAGGAAGGGAACAAGATAAATGCTATCTAGGGGTTGGAGAAAATCACTTGAATACTCCAAGAGACATACAGGTCGAATTGAATAAACATATCTGCATTTTATGACAGTTTAAGAGCATTTTGATGGTGTTTAACTTGTTAAATATTTGCTCACTTAAAGGAATAGCTCCTTGTACTCTCGTTTCCCTTGGTTTTAATTTTGTTTGTGCGTGTGTGCGTATGTGTGTGCGTGATGTGAAGGGGGTGGTAATTCATTTAATCTTTTGTTGGTAATAAAGTAAATTAGAATCCCCTAAAACACCGTGTTCTTTGGATCAGCAAAATATATGAAATTAAAAGTTTGTTTATGTTTTCCTTGTAATTTCTATTATTATGATAGAGAAAGCGAGCGGAGAGAATTGAACTGCCCCAACAATACATCAGAGCTGCCTTAGTTTTCGACGAAACCTTTGTAAGTATACACTTGCCCATTTTTAAGAAATGTTCAAGTGGTGTAGTATTTTATTATCAGTCGGAGTTAAATTGGAGGGCAATAAATGTCCACTGCTAACGAGACCTGTCAGAATTGATTTGTTTTTATTTAATGAAAATCATACAAAAGCTGTCAAGCCACTTTTACCTTAACGAAAACAACAAATATCGCAGACTGGGGTCCTAATTGTCAGGAATAAGATAATGATTAGAGCATTTTCTAAAACAAGAAATTAAAAGATATGAAGTCTCTGCAAAGAGTTTCTAGTCAGCGGAAGAGCGATCAGCGCAGCTCAACAGTCCTTTTGAAGTAATACGGAACGTATCTTGTTATAAACGAGGGACATGCATTGTCCTTCAAAAGCGGCCCTCTCCTTGACTGGTTATTGAAATGGCAAAACTAAACGGTTTGAACCCCTCGATAGACAAGCAGTGCTGTTACTAGAACTTCAGAGTTAGGTTAGCTATTCGTATCTTAGAGTATCTTTTTAGTATTTGTAGTTAATTTCTAGTTTCGTTTAGAATTGTACGACAGCAAATGAAATAAAATATAATTATATCCAATCAGATTTCGTCTTATGCATGTTATGTGTTTTTGTAATTGAGCAACAAATTTCCTCTTGGATTTTGCTCATCAGTTAATGCAAATAAACAATTATTTTAGCCGCCAAATTCTGGATTCCATATCTCACTAACAATTGTCTAGAGAGTACAATTAAACAAAACCCTATCGTATACCCTAAAGAAATCATGTCGGGAATACATAATACGCCACTGTAATGTCGCTATCGGAATAAGTTGATTTATGGAAAGGTTTACAATCTTGCTTAGGAGGAGCGACCATCTATGTACTCTACTCGGCATAGACGGGAGAAAGCACCTTCACTCGACCGTTACACTAGTCGTAATGAAGTTGAACGATGTATTCAATATTACAAATCTGGGGGAATAGCAAGGTGATGGGGTGATTTATCAAGTATTTACAATTTTTGACAGGGTCTTCTTAAGAGGAAAATGTCATAGAATGCAAACACATCTCAGAAACTGGGAAATCGGGCCCAGGAGGTTTCAGGGTCTCAGAAATAGATGCCAGGCATGAAAAGTATATGAGATGAATATAAAATAAGCCAGAAGTGACGTACGTGTCTAAGTGAGAAGGGGTCTCCTCATTTAAAGAGAAGGTCGAGTTCTGGGAAGAGGTGAAAAATAATAAGTGAGCGTTTTCATCGGTATTATGCAAGTGTGGAAGAACATCGGAAAAAAAGTGTTCCCTGAAAAGCATGGCTCTTCAAATGCCTTCATATTCTAAATATGACATGTAATTGCTTAACAATGAGGACCACATTTTATGCCACATGTTTGTGTAGTCCTATATTCATATTTCTGTGTACAGTACTTGTTACTTTTACCAAGACTTTGCCAAATATTTTATCATTTTGATGATTCCAGAATCTTGCAGCACACACCAATACTTATATGCTAGAAGATCAATCTTTTCTGATCGATTCCACACCGTTCCTTTCACAATGTAATCGCATGACCAGAATTCAACTTTATCTTTAAACCTAGCAGGAATAGTTTGACCTGGTTTGAGACAGAGTTGAGGACTGGTAGGGTTTTTTTATTAATATACACTATACGAACGTCAAAATTCATCTGCCACTTTGATCATAATTTGTTAACCGCGTCATAGATATTGCATGAAATGTTTCATTTATTTAATTTGCACCAAATCCCACCTTATCTTTTTATCTTGCAATAGTTTTCATGCATTTAAAACTATATTTATGGACATCATCATACTATACTTTTAGATTTTTAATGCATTTTTCTGTTATAATCAAAGATAGTTTCGAGATAGAAAGGCAGTTGTACGAGAAAGATATACATGTATTGAATGTGCACGGTTGAATAAAATACTATTTTAGAAAGTATTCAAATTCTGTCCGTGTACCCAATTTAATTTACAGTTCGTTACATAGCCTTTCCTGCTAATGACGATAGATTGGAAATATATGTGAGAAATAGAGAGAGAGAGGGGAGGGATGTGGTAGAGAGTAGAGAGATCGAAAGAGATGCATGGTTAGACATGGGAGAAAAGAGTTTACAATAAGGGAAGATGAGAGGGAGAGAGCGAGCGAAAGGTGGAGAAAGAGAGGGAAAGAGAAAGAGAGAGAAGTGGGGGGGGGGGGGACGGAGAACAAAATAACAAATATGATTATGTCGTGCTTTCCTTTCATCAATAATTTATGTGTCCTCTTTTCTAGCACGCGCCTTTTAGTCTTGAAGACGAAACAATGGAAAGGTTTGCAGTTAATCTCACCAAGGAGGTGGATCAGGTATCTACATCGAATTTCGTTTTTGTTTCTTCTCTCTATCTCTCCTTTGAATCAGAACATCCTTTATATCATCCCGGAATAAATCACATTTGCTACGAGCTAATTAGATATAATTTGCACTGATCTGTAGCGGTCTATGAATGATTAAAACAAAGACGGGTTCATCATCTTTATTGTCCATACTTTTAGCGATGGAAATTTGTGATATTTACGTGATAGCTGTATACGTGAACAGACATAGATATAAATTCATTCAAAAAGGCAAGTTTGAGTTGGAAAAACCCAAACAAACATAAACATGCCATGCATCAAATCTAACACACATGTATATAAAGTAAAATGCATGCAAAGACGATAAGTTTTACAATACAGGTATCAGTAATGTATTGTACTGTTATCACTATTATTATCATTATTTGTATCATCATTATTTGTATCATTATTATTATAATTATCATCATTATTATAAGTATCATTATTGTTATTCTTATTGTCATTATTATCATCATCATAATAATCTTCATCATCGTCATTAACAACATTACTATCAAGTTCATCAATTGGTAATAGTAAGAATTTCACCAAAGTAATCTTAAGTGAGCACTAGAACCGCTTCTTCAAGCAGTCATGTTATCAAATTAAATCTGCTGTTCTGCTGAATGGTGTTTTATGATTGGAATGAAACTTCCAGGCCCTAAACCAGGCAAATACATTATGAAGACATGAACGTTACCTCAAAGTTTTCCTATTTTTACTTCACCCTACGCATATTTTGATTTTCAAAGACTCTGTTCTTTGCCTTTTCCTAGTCTCTTCAAGACAAACATGGGCAAGGAATATTCATTTGAGAGATTTCTGCCCCTCGCTTCCGTGGCTTTTAGATAATAAATCCAACCGAACCACGTCTTGCTTACTAAAAAATCCAATAACAAATAACGATTGATGTTCTTTGTCGTGTCTTCCAGACATTCAGGCAGCTTAATATCAGGGTTCTATTAGTTACCATGGAAACATGGACCTCGAAAGAGCACATGAATGTTTCGTCTCCGCATCATCTTCTAGAAAGGTTCCGCGACTACGGCACTTCCCTACCAAAATATCATGATATTGCCTTTTTACTTGTGTAAGTGAACATTATCAGTCATATTTGCAAACGGCTCTCAAATAGCAATTTAATGTGTATTGATTTCTAATGCAACAGATGGATCTATTCTTATATTATATATTATTTGAAAGCAGGTCGGGTTGTAGCATTTGCTCTTGGTCTGCCTCTTATCAGATATCTAGCAGATAGAATGAGATATATTTTCTCTTTGAAAACACACAGGAACATTGCCTTCCGCCCTCCCGCCCCTCCCATTCCATTAAAAACAACGCGGTAAACGATTGAGCGTGATGCATTCTTATAGCAATACCATAATCAAAGATTTCTGTACCCTGTGAATTTACTCATCAATTATACAGCTTGAAAAAATAAAGCAAAACCAAAATTACAACTGAACCGAATGTTTACCTCGAAAGAATAACCAGTGAAGTGTATAAATAGCATTTGATTAGTTTTGCAGGTGCAAATATTGATCAAGATATCAAAACAATATGTAGACGTCAATAATTCTAATTATACCTATAAACGTATACATGAGTTTCGAAAGCGTTTTCATACAATTTTAAATGAGGCCTGTGATATAAAGTTTCTGTTTCCTTTTGGTTTAAAACCACGACTATGCGGTTGAATATAATTGACAAAATATTTAGTAATTGCTCGAGTGATATAATTTCCTTTTTTTCTTTCTAGAAACTAATAATACTTTCATATTTAATACAATTTGTTGCCATCCTTCGAGTGACATAATTTCCTTTTTTTCTTTCTAGAAACTAATAATACTTTCATAATTATAAAACGTTTTTGCCATCCTCCGAAAATTGGAAAGGATGTCAATATAATATGCTTTCACTGTGTAAAGGAATATTCTATATGTACCGCTATAACTATTATTTATTTCTATTGATATTTTTGTGCGTCTCTCTTTTCTCTTATTCTTTTTGCCTTTTCCATTCCTGGCTCCTTTCTCTCTCTATTGATTTCTCTTTCTATTTGTCTTATTTTTCCTTCTTTCTCCTCCCCCCCCCCTTCTCTCCCCTCTCTCTCTCTCTCCCTCTTCTCATTGTCTCTTCGTTTGTATTTTTCAATGTCTGTCTCTCCTCTCTTTTTATCAACAGGTTTAATTCATCCGATATGGCAAAATCAATGACAAGTTTTGATTCAATTTGCCACCGCAATCCACCGGCAGCCGGTGTTATTTGGGTAAGCGCTATCGTAGTCCAAAAGTATAAAATGTCCTACTTCTTTTAAAAGTATGTGTTCTTAAATTTCTATCTTAAGGATTGGGTACATTGGATATTTCTTTGCAGGAATGAACGGGAAAGCGTTGACATGGAATCAATTTCCTGCAGAATTAAACAGGTTTTGTTGTTGTAATGCAAGTCGGTGTTGTTCCTCATTTCCACTCCTAACGGCGATGGTAAGATCCGTTGCAATTATCATGTAGTAGAGATCGATACTTATGCACGAAAACGCTGAGAGTAAGAGTAATGAGAAAGGGATATTACAAACATTAATTGCTCGCTTGGAATTGCAATGAAACAGATTGTTAGCCTTCGTTATGAATATTGTGAGTATTTCTATATGCTGGCGGAAAAAGATCCGCCCAAGAGAAAATGGCTGTCGACTTTACGTCTGTTGACAAAGATGTACAGACCAAAATAGAATGACTTATAATCACTTTCTTTCACTATATTTTCCCCTTTTTTTCCTTCATCATCTCTCTGTCCATCTATGTATTTCACTCACTCGATCTCTTCAAATTCTGTACGTGACAGGTTTCAGATATTAGAAAGCCATCGAGGATCGCAACTTTGATATCAAGAAGAATAGCAACAAGCCTAGGACTATTAGAAGAAACAGGTGAGGATTGGTAGAAAGGAGAGTTCTGTATGCACTTTCGATTTGATACCCCTCCCCGGGATTGATTAAAATAAAAGCAAGTTTAAACGTATTACAAAAAACAACATCATCCTACTGTTACTACTACGGTTCGAGTCCCGCCGCCGCACTAATGTCCTTTGGCAAGACATTGATCTACATTTGCCACACTCCACCCAGGTGAAGTAAATGGGTACCTGGTAAGGATTTATTCCTTGAAATGCTAGAGCGCCGTATGGCAGCCGTGCTAAAGCCAGAGTAATAATCGGGAGCGCCAGGAGGGTCAAATCTGACTGACATGAGCGCTATACAAGAACCCACTATTATTATTATTATTACTACTACTACTACTACTACTACTACTACTACTACTACTACTGCTGCTGCTGCAACTACTACTACTACTACTACTACTACTACTACTACTACTACTACTACTACTACTACTACTACTACTACAACAACTACTACAACTACTACTGCTGCTACTACTACTACTATTACTTCTACTACTACTTCTACTACTACTATACCACTACTACTACCACTACTACTACTACTACGACGACGGCGACGACTACTACTACTACTACTACTAATACTACTCCTACTTAGTATACTATTACTACTTCTACTACTACTACTACTACTACTACTACTACTACTACTACTACTTCTACTACTACTACTACTACTTCTTCTACTACTACTACTACTACTACTACTACTACTTCTACTACTTACTACTAATACTACTACTACTACTACTTCTACTACTACTACTACTACTTCTTCTACTACTACTTCTACTACTACTACTACTACTACTACTACTTCTACTACTACTACTACTACTACTTCTTCTACTACTACTACTACTACTACTACTTCTACTACTTACTACTAATACTACTACTACTACTACTTCTACTACTACTACTACTACTTCTTCTACTACTACTTCTACTACTACTACTACTACTACTACTACTTCTACTACTACTACTACTACTTCTTCTACTACTACTACTACTACTACTACTTCTACTACTTACTACTAATACTATAAAGATCTGGTTGAGCATGTGACTGCAACTAAACTGTAACATATTTCAAAAGAGAGATCAAAGTTGTTCAAAGTTTTGTTTATTTTTTGTCTAGATGCCTGTCAGTGTGAAAACCATAGTTGTCTCATGAACGTGTCTACATTTAGGTAAGAAAATACATACATAAAAGAGTTTGAACGTACATGTAACTGGAATAAACGAATTTAGAGTTTTAAAAAAAATTGATGAATAGATTAAAAGGTAATACACACCATTGATATACATGGTTTAAGTCGAAGTATCAAAATGAGGTTACATATCTTAGATAAGCATGATTATGGAGGTATAGAGCCGGTCATCTTTCTTCAAATTTTTTTTGTTCCTTATAAAACTTGAGCGTACTATATTATAATAATACACAAATTCTTCATTTACAATATAAATATTCAACACTAACATTGATGATGCTTCACGAAAATTAATGCCCCAATCATCATTCCATATCATTTTATTTTAGTGGAAATCCCGGGTTCTCTGACTGTAGTGATCAAACATTCCAAGCTGCCTATAATAGAGGGAAATTTTGGTGTCTTGACACTCCACCAAGAAATATCGAGGTAAGAGAAAAGACAAGAGAGGGAAAGAGAAGAGGAAAGATAATTAGGAAGGAGGGAGAGAGAGAGAGCGAGAGAAAGAGAGAGAGAGAGAACAAATCAAATAGACAGAGAGGGGGAGATGGAAAGGGGATAAGTTCTGGTCATATATTATGCAAGGGGAAGAAAAGGTTTTGTTTTTTTCTTCATTCATGGTAGGCCTACCTACTATCGTCGTCTCATCAGATGTGTACCGAACTACCTGTTTGCCGACAAGAGGTTTATTCTTCGAAAATTTGTCGCAAGGTGGCGTAGTTCAAATGTAGCTATTCACACGATCAAACCTAGAGTGTTCTTGATATTAATAAAGTTTGGAGAGTTACATACCGAAATCAAGGATATGGCAAGTATCCTCTGCAATTTCTTCCACGGATACTGTAGTATAGATAAGAAGAGTTGCAAGACTTATTGAGAGAGAATATTCATGCCTCATTCTCTCCCGATACCATTTTTTGCTGTGAAAGATATGAAACATGAAGTTGCTTATATCCTCGCGAGTGAAATGAGTCAGAGGTTTTTAACATTTGAATACGGGACTAACACGATTTTCTTACCTTGATTTCGAGAGCTGATAGAAGCACCCCTGTGCGGCAATGGAATAGTCGAAACTGGAGAAGAATGTGACTGTGGAAATGATACGGTAAGAAAATATAACTATAAATAAGTTTATTTCATTTTTGCCTTTTAAAATGAAAACTGTTAAATTGGAGATTTTACGATAATCTGTTAATAAATTGATGGTAATTTAAGTACCTATTGTATTGCCTATAGAAATCATATCGGATTATGAAATACGTCATTGTCATATTTGCACATTTCACCATATAGTCAAATGTGTATTAAAAGTTTCCTGGGTTGATCTTTTAAAAGTATTTGTGATCTAATATGTAGGATGGTGAGGTGAGCTTGTTTTAAAAAGATAACGGTATCAAAAAGAATATTGTCCATTGAAATGTGCTTAAATATGTTAAAGATTGTTAGAACAGCACAACAGCAATATAAGAAGAGATTAAAGGTAATGCAAAGTTTTGGGAAATTTCGAAAATTGGATTGAGAGTAATTCTTTACAATTTTTATATACTTGGATGCCCCTGTGGATGTATTATAAACGCTAGAAAATTCAGCCCCTAAAACCCTTTTGCTTTCGAGAAATTGAATAATCAAAGATTTACCGGTGCTCCCGGTAAATTTCAAATATTTCAAAAAGCGCCTAAGGCCATTCCATGGTAGCTGCGACCATGAAAATCTCATAATATGTAGTTCTGATATATAATTTTCTAACGGTAATAACAAATCGGTCGATCCTATAGTCAAGAAACATTGTTTTAGAGCTAAAGTAATATCAGTCTTGAGAGGGCGCTTTACAACATAAAGATTTTATTATCTACAATTTCATCACTTTAGACTTGATTTCAAACGCGACAACGATCATTGAATATTGTAAAATCGCATATGCTTCCAATAAGTTAATTTGAACCAAATTTATGACCCCATACCAAAACTTTGTAATACCTTTAAAGAGGAAGACATTTCTTGAAGGTATTGAAAATTTTCACTAACTAGCGATTGTATTTCTTGAACCGTACTTTCTTTCAAAATTATCAAATAGTAGTTTAGGACATAGTTTTGTAGTCTTTATGGCAGCTATAGCGTGAAGTGTGTATATTGGAAATGTAGTGAAAAGTGTTTTTACATAAATCCATTTATCTGTTTTTTTAAGGCATGTTTGTCCTGCTGTCAAGCTTGTGTTCTAATAGAAGGCGCTGAGTGTGCAGGAGGAAGATGTTGCAATAGACAATGTAAGGTAAGAATTTTGTTAAAGTCCAGTTTTGAAATTCATGCAGTTAGTGATGATAGAAATGTTCGAGACCAAATGGATGCGCTAGGGCCCTTTGGTAAAGCATTAATCCTCATTACCAAGTCCCTCGTTCCCCTGATTGCTTACTTGTTAATGCTATGGTGACATTACCCAAGAGTAGCCTGCTCGGCGGCCGAGCGGCCAGTTTTTAACCAATTCTGCCCGGCGGCTGCCCGGCCACCGACCGGCTGCCGCCCAGGCACCGCTCGTATTTAGGGCATCGCTCGGTCGCCGCTGAAGTTTTAGCGCGGAGTTAAAGGGAAAGTCCACCCTGAAATTAAGTTAGTTTTAATAGGAGTAGAAAAATGAGAGAAACAAGTCAGTGAAAGTTTGAGCAAATTCCGATTAAAAATAAGGAAGTTAGGATTTTTTGAAGTTGTGATCAATCAAACACAAATTGGCAACTCTATGACGTATCATGCGAGCTCAACTTCCATTTGCTCAGTACTAAAAAAAATCTAAAATTTTCATTTTCCCTCAAGAAAAATTTCAACCATACATGCACCCTAAATATAATAATTGCAAATATGTTTCTATACTCCCCCTGCAAGGAACAAATATATATTCCGTCATCAATAACGAAGAAAACGTGATTTTATGGAATATTATGCACAAAGCAAATGAAGGAGAGCTTGTATAATAAGTCACAGAGTTGCCAATTTGTATTTGATTGATCACAACTTCAATAATTCATAACTTTCTTATTTTCATTCAGAATTTGCTCAAACTTTCACTCACCTGATTTTCTTATTATTCTGCCTCTATCGAAACAAACTTATTTTTGGGGTGGACTTTCCCTTTAAAATTTGGGCGGCGCCTGCTCACTTTTCACTCGCCGCCCAAAATACGCTCGGTGCCTGGGCGGTCGCCGCCCGGGCACCGACCTAATCGCTGGGCGATGCCTAATTCCAGCAGCGGCCGAGCAGGCTACTGATCGGTCGGTCGCTGCTCTGATTTGTTACCATAGCTTAACATGCACATTATGCTTTCCTAGCAGTTAGGTAAAAACAAACCACCAAATCAAACCGTCAATACTGTTTTGTCTTAATAATCAAACCCAAAGCGTCTAGGTGATATTTTAAATTTCTTTTCCATTGTGTTTTGTAAAATGCCAGTTCATTTCACATGGTGTAATGTATACCTGCAGAGAAACATTAATCTAGTTGTCTTGTTCCAAAATTTTCGTAGTTCGATAGAGGGTTGTCCCTTGTAGTCGCAATGGATATAGAAATTTGTATTTTTTTAATCAAGTCTTGGTATATCTATTCCTTTTCTCTTCATATTTTTTAGTTATTAATGGCTGGTTCCATCTGTAGAGAACGCCAAGGATCATGCGACATTCCAGAGTATTGCTCGGGTACATTCGGAAACGTAAGGCGGTTTAGCTTCTTAATTGATTATTTGCCTTGATTTGTCAAATTGTAACTTTCATTCGGATTCATTAGTGTTTATTGATTCTCATTTCATCATCCAGTATTTTAAACGCTAGATATTACTCATTTGAAGATGAATATTCATATTCTCAATCAATTGTTATGCAAAATAAGGGGGAAAATCATTTGACACAAAGATTGTTCTCTGGCTGTTTCCAGCGCAGTCTTCAGCTGTTTGGCATAAATTATTATAAATACTGATGGAATGATATTTGAAGTAATATGCATACTTTTTTTGCCAGCATGTTATTATAACTTTTATTCGAGGCAGTAATTTCCTAAAGATTTTTTTTTGTGCGAACAATAGTTCAAAGTGATTTTTAAGACAAAACATACCTTTAGGTATGCTTTCACAATGGTTTTACATGTAAGAGAAATAAGACCCATACATATTCACTGTATTCGTTTCATCTTTTTTATTTTTCTACCTCAAGTGCCCTAAAAACGTAGTGCTTCATGATGGCGCTCCTTGTAAGAAAAAGGTAAATATAATTTATTGATGTCATAATGCTAAAAATAAAATTATCAAAGTCTTGCGTCCAGTTCTTGTAAAACACACTACATAAAACTATCAAGAGCATAAAGATGCTAGCAAATGCCTAGAAAAAACGATAACTTGATCAAGTTACTTCTGGAAGTATGCAATTTGATGTTTTGTTGTAATTTGTTATATCACAAAACAATGCAATTGACGGAGAAATCTTATTTAATGACATTTTATCCTCAAACACTCTCATTTTTGTTGTAGGCTTGCAAGTTTTTAAAATATTTTTATTCTCCCTTGACTTTATTAAGACAGAACACAAAATATAACAAAACTTCTTTTTCGGAAATTTGCAATTAAATTCTGTACAAACATGTACAAATATGAGTAAGAAAGAAAATACATTTCTAAGTTCAGAATACTGTCCCCCCCCCCCCCCCCCCCATATGTATTAAATGAGGCATTACAGTTTGAATTTGCAAAGTGCCAACCCATATTCTTTCTTACATTTCACACTCTCTACATCGCTGGTACTAACGTATCAGATGTTATCGCGTCCATGTGTTTTTGCGGTATGTACGTGTATTGCACATTCTCGTGACTGACAGCCTGCGATATTTACTTTGTATGTACATACTCTTTAAACTCAACAGCACGCAATGCCTTTTCACTTTCTTTTAAAGATGAAGTTGAGTTCTGGTCATGCGATTGCATTGTGAAAGAAACGGTGTGGAATCGACCAGAAAAGGTTGATCATCTAGCAAATAAGAATTTGTGTGTATTGCAAGGTTCTGGAATCATCAAAATGATAAGAAATTTGGCCAAGTCTTGGTAAAGTTACAAACACTGTACACAGAAAGATGTATATGGGACTACAAGAACATGTGGCGTAAAATCCTACCCTGGAATTTTACGATGTTACATGACATATTTAGAATATGAAGGCATTTGAAGAGCCATGCTTTTCAGGGAACATGTCTTATCTGATGTTCTTCCACACTTGCATAATAAGAATGATAACGCTCACAAATTATTTTTCACCTTTTCCCAGAACTCAACCTTCTCATTAAGTATGCATTTTAATTTAAGACAGTATTAAGTATCGAAGTGCGTCGTCATACTGGCCAAGTTGTCAAGGTTGCGTTTCCGAACATTATTTTGTGCTAAACACCAGCCACAAACAGTGAATTTGCCCTGCTCCACTCTAGCCCGTTGCTTGAATGATTCTGCAGTGTTATCTCATGTACAGGCTCTGTCGTTTAGAACCAGTAACCTGGACAATTGGTGAATATGAAGTTAATAGCACTTCGGTACGCTATAGACAGCATGGTGGGAGAAACAAATATTAACTCATCAATCCTGATTAGAATTAGAGTCTCACTATTGCACGTTTCCATATCATTATCAAACTACTTTATCCTTGACGAATATCAACTCAAGGCTATACACATTAGAAGCTTTCATTTATATTCTCTTTCTGAATGGGTCCATTTAGACACATGAAACTTAAAAAGGTGTAGAGTAACTTCTATTCTGACATTAAAGTGAGATAAACGAGGGGTTGTATCATAGCATATTTTTAATAATTATACTTAGAACGAATATGATAATTGAAAATTGTTTTAAGGGAAAATATAGTTTTGAAGATTTTTTTTAGTAAAGGGCAAATTGGAGGAGACCTCGCAAGATACGTCACAGAGTTGCCAAGTTATGTTTGATTTATCGCACCTTCATAACTTGGTTTTTGCTAAAACTTTCACTGACTTATTTCTCTCATTTTCTCCTATGAAAACCAACTTAAAGATAAACTTGAGTTCTGGTAAAAAAAGAAAGAAAATTAATTCTCACAGAATCAAACGAAACTTACACTGAATGTTCAAGATTACAAATAAATGACATGTGCCAAATAATTTTGGAAGAAAATGTAAACTGGCTGAGAAATGAGCATAGAAAGACAACGAAATCAAGGTAGTACTAGCCCCGACACCATGTGTGTTGTCCCATATATAGCTTTCTGTGTACAGTGCTTGTTACTTTACCAAGACTCGGCCAAATTTATTATGATTTTGATGACTCCAGAACCTTGCAGTGCACACCAATACTTACATGCTACATGATCAACTGTTTCTGATCCATTCCACACCTTTTCTTTCACAATGCAATCGCATGACCAGAACTGGAGTTTATCTTTAAGATCAGAGTGGACTTCCTCTTTCACCTCTTTATAGTGCATTTACTGATTTATCACAGGGAGTATATTATCTCCTTATTTTATATTTCTTACCGAATCCCTTAGTTCATTCCTGAACCCAACACTCTACAACCTATCCGGCCATTAGCCTAAACCTAACCTAAAACCTAATTTGAAACTACTTCCCTGACCCTTACTTTAACCTAAACCCTCTATCTTAGACGGAAACATCATGCATCATGGATAGGGGGAAATAGAGAAACTACCACCCCATCCCCGAGAAGCGTAAAATTACATTATTTTCATTCATTGTTTTTGTATGATTATGTTTACCAGGGGGTGTGCAATGCTGGAGTTTGTCAAACAATGCAAGATCAATGCTCACATCTATGGGGTGAAGGTAAGTCATGACTTCCCTTACACGAAACATTATTTTGATTCTTTGATTTACCTCTATACTTATATCTCGATCATATCTATGTATTTCTTTGTATTTCGTCAATTGTCATATTTTATGTACATCAATAATGCTATATACTTTTATTGTTAGTTGAATATTTCTATTTGTTTTTTCAATAAATGCAGAAATATCTGCTTACATAATTTCAGTAAAACTGAAAGATGCTATTTATTATGTTTTTGAAGTAGCATTTTTGTATTGATAATTACTACACTAGTAGAAATATTGTGAATTGTGATATTACCATCATCTATTTTGTTTGATAATATTTCAATATGACAAGATTCATGTTTTTTTCTTCAAAGATTTGTATATGCGACTCCCCCTACAGTCATAGAATTCTAGATCCGCAAATGATTAAGCCTTTTGTATTAAAATGATTATGATTTAACATGATACAAATAAGCACAGCTCTGTGGGACCAGTGTGAATTGAAGTTTGAAGTTGAAGTTTATTTATTCCGCATTTTACATAAAAAGCCGTTTATATTCTTTTTATTTTTATTTATACAAGCGTATATTATATAAGAGTAGATTTCACACAGGAAAAAAAAGAATTACAGATTTCAAATCAAGTATAATGTACGGAAAATTAGTACGAAGATTTCGAAATATGTAGATATAACAGGCAAGGTAAAACAATGTAAAATTTGGGGAGCCTAAATAAAATGTATGTGAATAGGCTCCCGTACTGAGTAACACAATATAGTAGGTCTGAATTTTAAAGGTATGATAGGAATCAAACACTTTAAACGAGTAATTATGTTCTTGTTTCCGAACTGGCCAATTCTTTATCAGTGCAACATTGATACATGGACACTATACGTTTACCGTTATCCAGGTAGCAGGCTAGCTGGGGATACATGCTTACCCAATGTCACGGCAGACATGCTTGAAAGGACGCCTAATTACAGGTAATTAATTGTTATGTAAAAAGTTAGAACATGACATGAGTATCCTAGAGTATTGAAAGAATAAGATATTCTTACAGTTTCAGGAGGGATTTAGTTCTGATTTCAACCAATTTGGATAAAACCCCGCAATTTGTGTTTCAGAGGCATGACAGAAATAATTATATACCAGCATTCTTTAGCACAACCGGTGCCTCTGTTCCCGATTTAGTTCGTTTGATATTGACGCCAAGAATTTTTAAAAGAAAGATGCAGTTATAAATCATAACAGCGGAAGAATGTGGAGTTCATCACTTTCGTTCCATACAAACGAAAGTCTTCTAGGTAGCTTGCAGAGGCGGGATGGATTAATGGTATAGAGCTGTTGTCTCGAAATCCGAAGATCTCTGGTTCGAAACTAAGTCGGAGAGCAAGTGCCCTTTGGTAAGGCATTAATCCTTATCAAGTTCCTCAAAGAGTACTTTAAGCCATTGGTCCCCTGGTTTCCTACTCACAAGCACACACATGCTTTCTTAGAGGTCAGGTAAAAGAAACGACCCAACCATTTGATTTGATAAGGTGTTCCTCTGTATTTTAATACGGATGAGTTAGAAAATTCGAAAAGTAGACCTACAATAGTAAACGACAAGTGGCAATTGGAACAAGCCAAATCATTGCTTAATACAAATATTACATCTGATATAATAATTACACATGTGGGGCCTTTCAAACCATCTACGGTACCTAGTGGAAAGGTCAATGATGGTTCCCATTGAATGATATATTCCATTGCGATGCAATCACTTTTCCGTGTCCTATTTTTTCTTTATCCATCGAAAGGTGTTCCATATTTTCATAGTCATTTCCTTAACTTGACATGGATGAAGGAGCGCTTTATCACCGCTCTTTTCATTCAAATGCAGATCTTGATACACTATAGTGACTATATATTATGAGCAATAGTTCAGCAAATTTCTGTCTTAACAATTTTACAATTCCACATGACATTGTATCTGATTTAAATTCAAAAGATTATTATCGCGAAATACGTGTCTATGATATTATGATCTAGATATCATTTGAAAACCTTAGTATTTTATAATGCAGTGTATATATAATATTAATCACTCTAGGGATACTAAATGCGGGCTTCTCTCGTGTGACGTCACTGATGTAGACATGACGTCATTGCAAGCTCGTTCTCTCATGGAGTTGGCAAGCTGGGCTACGAACGATCTCCAATGCAAGTAAGTTCTTGAACAATATATTCATAGCCCTCACAGATAATTCCTTTTTAATCATGGATTGGTCCAGATCACTCAAGTGTTAAACCATATTTTTACTAGTCTATAAGACCATACCACTGACTATCTAATCTATGGCATGCAGAGAGATAATGAAGAGTTTACTATTTAAACTATTTGCTTGAGAGAGAGAGAGAGAGAGAGAGAGCAGTTCTTCGTGCATCCAGCCAATCGACTTGCTTGCAGATATCAGCGTTTGAGATTCTGTCTTTCTTTCAATGTGTGAATTTTACTGTACAAAATGCACTGTAACCTTGTTTTTTAAATTAAAAAGAGAGCGACTTATGCAAGACTTTATCTGTTCTCATGGGGTCTCACTTACCACAAAGGAAGCGTTTCCTTCGGAAGAAATACATAGATATGCCCCTTAGAACTACTACAGTCACCTCAAGTACAGAAGCTTTTTAAGGCAATACAAACTATGCGAGCGTGTGTTCGCGTGCGTTGGTGAGCGTATGGTCATCAATGTGTGGACGGATGTGCGTGTGTGTGCGTATATGTGTGCGTGTGTTTGTGTGCGTGTGGGTGCTTGTTTGTGTGAAGAAAGGCAAGAACTGTCAAAAGGACAATTTTGATAGTTTCAAAATTGTGCAAATGATTTATTCGTTGTATATTACTGAAATAAATAATGCTCTCTCACCACTTTGTCTTTGAAAAAATACAGAGTGATGAACATTGCCTTATCAGACGGAACGAACCTAGGCGCTGTGCCTGAAGGGACCGCCTGTGGGAAGGGGCAGAGCTGTCGACAAGGCGAGTGTGTCCCGGTTGATATGGCGTCTTGTCCAATGGGAATCTCAAGGAAGATCTGTTCAGGAAATGGAGTAAGTTTTCACTGGCAATGCACTCTTGATACAAGAAAAGTCAAGCTTTTCATGCATAACCAAAGCCTCTGTTTTTGTTTAATGTCAGTGTGGGCTTTGTGCACTTTGCTGTGGCATATACTAAAAATGACAATTGAGCGAGGTCCTAGGAAAAATCTTCCCGATAGAGACCGGGAGATGCCATTGGTACTTCCAGTTTTTCAGACTAGCAGTAAACAATCATGACTAACAATGAACTGTAAAAATGTATTTAAAAAAAAAAAAAAAAAAACAACTTCAATCTCTATAATGCCAAATTTAGGTTATAACATTTCTCAAGTGCCTTTTGATCTATAAAGGGGGAAGGAAAATGCACCGTAGGAGGGGCACATTTTCTTTTATTTTTTGGTATATACTCAAGGAATGCCATTTGGGGGTTTTAAAAGAGGAGGATGCGTGAACCGGTTGTGCCCCTAAATCCATGAGTGTTAACAAAATTTTTTATGCAATGTGTGTTCATTAAAAGGAACCAAAACCTTCATACTAAGTTACTTTTATTGTAAAGTTTAGGATATTTGAAAATATCAGTGAAAATTTGAACAAAATCGGGCAAGGAATAAGGAAGTTACAGCTTTTTTTAAATGGCTAGTCACTAGAGGGCGGTATTCAATTTGATGACATCATCTGTGGACAACTCTCCATGCCCTTTGTACCTCAAATTTCATGTTTTTCCTTCCTTCTCGTGATTGAGATAATCTACTCCCTGAAAGCAAGATATAGAATGCTAAATGATATTCTACTTCACATGTTATGAAGTCGGATTAAGAACACAAATAAATACGAAGAAAACGAAAAAATTGTGAAATTTTATGTACAAAAGGCATGGAGAGTTGTCCACAGATGATGTCATCAAATTGAATACCGCCCTCTAGTGACTAGTCATTTCAAAAAGCTCTAACTTCCTGATTCCTTGCCCGATTTTGTTCAAATTTTGACTGATATTTTTTAAATATCTTAAACTTTACAATAAAAGTAACTTAGTATGAAGGTTTTGGTTCCCTTTAATCTTCATACTGTTATCCTCTCGAATCGTCTTGTAGGTTTGTGCTATCACAGGAAACTGTGTGTGCTTTTGCGGCTGGAGCAGTCCCTCTTGCTCTGTGAGGAATTCAACCCGGGAAGGGGTGATCTGCATTCCAAAATCCGTACTTGTTACAAGTGACGTCTCAATGAATCCCGAAGCTCCGCCCACTGATATCGGTATGTATGTGCTGAATTTTGAATGAAGATGACTTGGCCTAATTATTTACCATTAAAATCTGTTTGAGATTTACATGTTGTGGTAATGGTAAACTGTCTTGAAAATTAAGCCTTTAAACAGAATATATTGATTCCCCATTAATCATGTTCTTTTATAATATAGGCAACAGTGTCACATTTTAAATTCAGGAATTGCTATTACTTGGAACATTAACATTTTGGGAGGGGGAATTATTTAAAAAAGAAGAAAGAGATACAAACGATCAATTGAATGCCATGGCACCAATATGATTAACTAGATACAGACGTCATGTTCTTGCATTTGTACATTATGAATGACAGGTGAACGGAGAATGATAACTTTACAAAAAAAGGAAGGAGGGAATTTCGCATTATTATAAAACTACTAAAGAGAGGGTGAGAGAGAAAGAGAGAGAGAGAGAGAGAGAGAAGTAGAGAGATAAAGAAATACAAAAAATGAGTAAGAGAGAGCAATATATGTTATGGAGAGAGAGGGACAGAGAGAGAGAGAGAGAGAGAGGAGGGAAGAGGGTGTGGGAGAGAGAATGGCGGAGATGAGGTGTGTTATGAGTTGTAAGTTAGCATACTCCTCAGTAACTCCTCAGTTGTTTTAAAATCATCGTTTTACCTGATTCTTTCTCATTTTAGATGATACCGGTGATGAAGTCGAGGTTCGTGTCTTAACGAGTGCTATCATCGGTGGGTCCCTGGCTATCATCTTTGTTGTGGCAATCATCTTTGGGGCAACCTCAATAGGATTCAAGTGAGTACATCTGGCATATCAGCAGGGGAGTGTTTCACACAGACTAAGATCAACTTTAAGTTGGACTTAACTATGGCGGGCCGTTCACGCCACCACGGTGGCGTGCACCGTTTTCTCTCACTTGTGTGATCTTTAGATAATATTTTTTACCTTCAATAATGAATTATTAAAAAGTGTAAATTCTGTAAATTTGTGTCCATGATTTGTACGTCCCTTGAGATACCAATGCCAGTAAATGGTGAGAGCAAACAGTGTCAGTGGCATGAACAGCCTACCATAAGTCCAACTTAAAGTTGATCTTAGTCTTTGTGAAACACCCCCCCCCCCCCTCGACAACTAATCCTAATAAAACTATCCTTAGTTTTGTAACTTATAAAGTGACCCCCAATCACCATCGGATATTTCCTGTATGTTGCATGAAATAACATTATTTTTAATTAAAAATAAAGGCGGTAAACATTAGGGAGAGGTTGCATTAAAGAGTAACATATTCTCAATATTTATTTACGAAGTAGAGCGGTCATGATATGACGAATAGAATAAGAACAGAAAGTTAAATTAAGATATACCGGTGTTGTTGATAGAGACGGTATGATTCCCGTATTATAATTTATTTTGTCAGTAAATTCTAATTTTCAGCTTTTTATTTTTTGCTTAGAAAAGCTTGGATCCTCTGTCGGAGAAAATAAAAATCTTTGTTTGGGTGGGGTGGGGGGGGGGGGGGGTGGTGGGATAAAGGGACTTCACGAAATTAAGTATTACCTGTTATCAGAGTTGGTCCAGCACCCTCCATTCTAATGTTATGATGACGCCTCTAGAAAATACTTAACAATATTTACGGATATTATCGTTTCTATGAGAAGTATTATTTCATTTCTTTCGTTGAATACAGGAGAGCAAGAAAGAACAACCAAGCTAGGTAAGATGATCAGTGTTACCATTACTTGTAAATATTAGATTTTATAAGAATAGATTAATCTTCCAAAACTTAAATCATGTCTTAAAATAAAATATGAAAAATATATATCCACCCCTTTGCTAATACAAAAGTTAAAATATTATTGAACTGCCTTTACAAGGAAAAGATTAACATTTTTCTCATATCTTTCTGAATACGGAATGAAACTAGACAAACAAAATACTACTTTGGTTCATCATGATGGCTTCAAATACTGCGAATATATGAAATTTTGTTCCGGGGATTCTTTCATTCTTTCTTCTCGATTTTCTTCCCCAGACGAATGCAGCAGGTAAAACTTTTTTCGTAAGTATATATATATACATTCTGCCTCTTTTCAATATCAATTTGCTTTAAACATTTGCTACTTTTGTTCATATATACATATATAGATTGGACAATTTGCTTTAATTTTCTATGAATGATTATTTTGACTCTCTTATCGATTCATTTGTACATTTTTCCTGCTTTAAGTCTACAGATCAGTCATTTTCTAAAAGATTTAACAAATGAAGTTCACCATTAATCCTAATGAAAAGATGCCACCCGGAACTTTTGCTACAACTTGTGATGACGGATGATTGAGCTTCAAGGTTTTACGACACAATTACCTGTAATCTTACACATCTTTTAATTTCAAAATTACAAAAATCGAGGGCGCAAACGCTAAGTCAAATAACCTTTAGTGACCTCATGAAAAAGAAAAAGATTCCTGTGTGTCATGAGTAAAATCCTTTTTCACTAGGTCCAATCTTTTCTTTTGGTAGAATGTTCCAACCTACCGAAGGGCAAAAGAAGCGACTGGCAAAGTTCGGTGGGGGCAGGTCACCGTATATAGCTGGCGAGCTAGAAGCCCCCTCATCTTCAATGGGCGCCCCATCTAGTCACCCACCAGGCGACCGTCATCATCATAAACCTAAACACCATAATCATCATGGCGGGGGTCAACCAGGGGGTCGTATGCAAGGCAAAAACAAAGGGTGAGCGATTTCTTGAAATTCAAATATGACTTTTTAAGACAGATTTTAAAATGATTTTAAACGATTTATGCACTTGTAATCTAGGCTCACATTTAAACAGTCTGTTTATTATCAATATTGACCGATGGATTCAGTAATCTTTAATTAATCATTAGTTACTTAGTATCTGCTATATAAACAAATCATAATGAAACACTGCATAAACGACTTTCTGGATATATATATATATATATATATATATATATATATATACACTGGCGTACTGGTGGGGGTGCTTGGGGGGGCTTCAGCCCCCCAAATAAAATTGAACCATGACTTTTTTTCACAAGTGATGTATATGTTCGTGATATCACATGATTTTCAACAAAATGCTAGTTTCTCCATTAATTCTTGCAAACTGACCCATTCCCAAAAAAGCCAGGAAGAGCTTATGTTTTTTTATAGTCACTAAGGGCCTTATAGTGGCCACTAACAGTAACACTGGTAAAAAAATCCTTTCCAGAAGCTTTGTGCAAAGCACTGCCGGGAGATATCATGCTACCTACCACTCGGGCTGAGCATGCACAGATTTGCGAACGAGCGTTCCATACTTACATCATGTAACACTGCACATATAGTGGGGGAAATTGAATTCAGACAAGATTAAGAGTAGAGAACGGTACAACGAATCGTCTTCTTTCTCTAATAATTTAATGAAACGGCAAAGCCTTCCGCGCTTTGCACGGGAGGGGGGGGGGGATTGAATTCAGACTAGGATTAAGAGTCGAGAACGGTTTTGATGAAACGCGAAAATGATTTTAGACAAGGATTAAGAGTAATAATTAAATAAAACGACAAAGCTTCCGCGCTTCGCGTGGGAGGGGGAAAACTGAATTCAGACAAATACACGATAAAATGAATCGTCTTCTTTCTCTATAAATTTAATGAAACGTGATAGCTTCCGCGCTTCGCGCAGGATGGGCGAAAATGAATTCAGACAAGGGTTAAGAGTAATAATTTATTGAAAGACAAAGTTTCCGCATTTCGCGCGGGAGGGAGACTGATTTCAGTCAAGGATTAAGAGTCGGGGTTGGAACATTGAATCGTCTTCTTTCTCTAATTATTAGATGAAACGTCATAGCTTCCACGCTTTGCGCAGGAGGGGCGAACCAAGAATTAAGAGTCAAGAACGGTACAACGGATCGTCTTCTATCTCTAATAATATAATGAAGTGTCAAAGCTTCCGCGCTTCGCGCGGGAGGGGGGGGGGGGGGACTGAAAAAATTAATTAGTTCCTGGCCCCGGGTTTATGGGGTTAAAATTGTAGGTATTTGGACATTGGCATTTTTATATTTGTTGGTAATTGGTGGCTCGTTTTGTCGGTAATCGGTGGCCTCTACACCCTTCCCCCCTCCCCCACTGAAAAAGATCTAGCCGCGCCCCCGATAACGACACAGTTTATACACTCGAGATAATTTTCGCAAGTACTACAGTGAAGTACCGGCATCAAAGCATAATCTATACAACGTCTCACGACGTGTCAGATCACTTTTCTCTAACTTCTAACGAATCCCCTCCCGCGCAAAGCGCGGAAGCTTTGCCGTTTCATTAAATTATTAAAGAAAGAAGACGATTCGTTGTACCGGTCTCTACTCTTAATCTTGTCTGAATTCAATAAGGCCTCTTTTTTCCAGGAAGTGCCGGTGGACATTAATGCGCCAAATGTGGTTCTCAAATTGCAAAAGATCCCTACTGTTGGAAGGGGTAGGAGAAAGCAATTTTACGTCATATTATATTACTCCAGGAAGCAGGGGCGTCGCCGCCAAAGGGGGGGGGGGGTGAGGGGGTGCGACACCCCCCCCCCCACCTGTCAGGATATTGTCGGTAAAATTGCGCTGCCGTCGGAAAAAAGAGAAAAGGGGGAGGGAAAAAAAGAGAGGGAAAAAAAAGAGAGGGAAAAAAGAGAGGGAAAGGGGAAAGAAAAGAAGAAAAAAAAGGAAAAGAAAAGAAAGAAAGGAAAAGAAAGGAAAGAAAAGAGAAGAAAGAAAGAGAAAAAGAAAAAGAGGGAGGAGAGGAAAGAAAGGAAAAGAAAGAAAAGAAAAAAGAAGAAAAAAGAGTGAAAGGGAAACAAACGAAACGGGGGATGAAAGAGAGGAGAGAGAAGGGAGGTAAGAGTCTGAGAGAGGAGGAGTGGGAGTAAAAGAGAGAAGGGAGTTGTTGGGTGGAGTCGTCTCGTCGAGGGAGCAAGAAAGAAACGGGTAAATATGTTGCTGTGTTGGGTCAGCTGTGTCGGTATTCTTGATCGATCCTCGTGTACTATATCAATGCAGAAGTTTGAAGTCGGTGAGATGTATATTGTCGGTCGGCCGACAAGTTTTTTTCCCTACAAACTGTGTCTTTTTATCCGCTGTGACGACTTCGAGAGTGACTACAACTACAATACTTGTTTTTTCTCGAAGTTTCACTTTTCTATAATATCAGCTAAAGAAATCAGAGGTTTAAAATTTTCGGGAAAACTAAATTCAAACAAGGTTTAAGAGTCAACAACGGTACGACGAATCGTCTTCCTTTCTATATATTGTGATGAAACGCCAAAAATTCCGTGCTTCGCGAGGAAGGGAAACTTCATTTAGTCGAGTCGAGAACGGTACAACGAATCGTCTTCTTTCTCTAATAATTTAAGGAAACGTCAAAGCTTCCGCGCTTCGCGCGAGAGGGGAAACTGAGTTCAGACAAAATTAATAGGGCTTATTTAGAGTCGAAAACGGTACAACGAATCGTGTTCTTTCTCTAATGATATGAGGAAACGTCAAAGCTTTCGCACTTTGCGCGAGAGGGGGGAAACTGAATTCAGAAGAATAGGGCTTATTAAAAGTCGAAAACGGTACGACGAATCGTCTTCTTTCTCTAATAATTTTAATGAAACGTCAAAACTTCCGCGCTTCGCGCGGGAGGGGGAAGCTTCATTCAGATAAGGATTAAGAGTCGAGAACAGTACACCGAATCGTCTGCTTTTTCTCATAATTTAATGAAACGTCAAAGAGGGGGTGGGGATGGGAGGGGTGGGGGAACTTCATTTAGCCAAGGATTACTAGTCGAAAACTGTACAATTAATCGTCTTCTTTTCCTTATAATTAAAGGAAACGTCTAAGCTTCCGCGCTTCGCGCAGGAGGCCCATCACCCACACCCCCTAATGAGCGCGCTTTTAAGTGATTCTCTTGCTCACTACCGCCCCTCCCTAAAATAAGATCCTAGCTCCGCGCCTGCATTAAAATATATAGCTATGATGCTGACTAAATTGAAGAAATAATACGTATATTTATGTCTTCGAGGAAAATGACCATTTCGCGCATATGCAAGTAATATAGATAGTCCATATGAAAAAAAAATTTAGCTTCGGCCCCGGGTTATAGGGTTATTTGTAGATATTGAACATTTAATTTTGTCGGTGATTGGTGGCTAGTTTTGTCGGTAATCGGTGGCCTCTACACCCCCCCCCCACTAAAAAAGGTCTAGCGACGCCCCTGCCAGGAAGTGCCTGAAAATGCGTTTAATTTGGTTCTAAAATTGCAAACGCTTCTTACTCTGGGAGGGGGCCAGAACCCCCTCCCAGTGACCCACCCCCTGCTTGGTCACTCCACTCCCTCGCCGTTAAAGCCTCGTTCTGTCGCTTCATCGTTTTACATTTCAACCCTTGCCATTTTGTGCCCCCCCCCCCCCCGGTAAGAAATTCCTGGATCCGCCACTGACGCCCATACCCCTTGAGCTTGGGGCCTCCGCCCCTTGACCCCCGCCGGGCTTTGCCACTAGACCCCATTTCGAGAAACGTTCAGCAAGGGACTGCATGTTAGAGTGGGGGTGATTCGGATTTTTTTTTTTGTCAGCCCCCCCAAACGTTTTTGCTCATTACGCCACTGTATATATATATATATATTATGTAAAAAAACGAAGAATTTCTTCTTACAATCAAACAATCCTATATAATATATAAGCAAAGTGATAGAGGACATTAGAAAATTATGTGTAAAAAAAGGTGACAGACAAAAAAAGGGCTACTTTGTTCTAGGGTTTTGAGAACTAGTCAGTGCACTATTACTTTCTGTCTACATCAATTAGCCCAGCTCGTATATGAATCAATAACTTAGGTCAACCGTAGCCAATTAGTTTAATTGAATATTAGTTTATTGATACTCGGGAATAATGAATAATGATTCTATCGCTTATTCTTTTTTTATGATATTTAGGCAGAAGAAAATGCGATTCCAGATAGACATGGACACTCATAAACCGCACAAAGCTGGAGGCGGTAAGGTAAGACAGAGTCACAAAACTTGCGAATGTCCATTGCACATATTCGGTAGCTAATCAAGCCCGTCCAGTTGATCAGCGCAGACCCTGGTCATTAAAACATTCTTTCTGCTCTTCGTTTGCAATCAATTTTGTGCGACGTTGAAGGTTTGAGAGGTGTAACCATAGACCTACTACGAAGTGGTTTAACCCTAATAAGGCCGGGGGGGGGGGGGCATTATGCCCCCCCCCCCGCGATTTTTCTGATTGTTCGGGAACGCATACAAATGGCGCCCCGCCGCTCACTGACTTTTTTCTTTCGAGTCTAGCGCATCTTTTAAACAATTTTTGAATGTAATTTTTCCTAAAAAGAGATAAAATATTGGTTATTGGGTCTTGTTTAAAGTTTAGGTGTTTGTTTTGGGATTCAAAATAGTTGCATTGTGGTTAGAAATGAAATAAAACAATAAAAACAACAAAATACATAAGTTAAAAAACGGTAAATTACATGAGAAAAAATGCTTAAAGGGGCATGTTCCCCGTATTCCAGAGGGCGTTCATAATACGTACCCGCTGGCGGACGGTGCTAGCTGCCTATTGACACCAACAGAATACGGCTCTTACGCAGATGGCATGTTCCGAATGCCCGCACAATGCCAATTATCGCATACATGTGCCGAAGTAATACCAATCGCAGATCGGCTCTAAGATTCGGCTGCTGTTTCCGCCCACTTTCGTGACGTCACAATCGGCAGCGATCAGCTGGCTTGGCGAAGGCAGGCCAGGACGCGCGTACTTTGATTGACAGCTGTAAGAAGTCGATCTTCGGAACCAAGATGGCGATGACTAGAGCAGGATAACTACACTGGCGGGAACGTGTCCCTTTAAATATAAAGAATATATGATTTATGGGTAAAAAGGTGAATGTCATGACCTTATTTGCATAAATTACCATAAATAGGCAAATGAGTGAATTTTTCAAAAAATTAAATGCACCATAGCATTCTATCAAATTCACTTGACATGCGTGTACATTTTCGCGGCGGTTGCGAGACCTCTGCCCAGCCACTAAGCATTTGCGCCTCACTGTCATCATGTTCATACTGTAAACGTTTCAAAGACTGCATAAATCAATCATTCACGCCATCCCAAATCAGGTAACGCCCCTCGTGTGCTAATGGCTTAAATACACGTTTATGCTTTTAAAACTTGTTTTGCTTAGCCCCGTACGCGTCTTTTTCCGTAATATAGCCATCCTGTCGCTTCATTTGATTGGCTCAATAGGACCTATACGTCATCGCTAGTCATGAATATTCATGATACGCACGCACACAGAATCTGAAGCGAAAATTTATCAAATATGATATTTCATACAAAAATTACAGATACAAAGCTAAGTTTACTTTAAATAAGTGACATTGCGACAAAATCGGGAGGCTTACCATAAACGAATGACTACCCAGTTTCGTAACTTGTCCATATTTCATTTGTTAATTTAGTCCAGAATCTGGCCGATTTAATTTGAATTTGATCTCCACCTCACCTACCAATTCCAGGATGGCTATATTACGGGGAAAAAAGATGCCCCCCATACTTTCCCTTGTACATTAAATTATCTTCAATTATGTCACAATCTGGCATATTCTACGGTGTCTTTGAAATGTCACACATTCCATGTCTACTTCATTCATTTTTTCTTCTATCTCTCGACAGGCTCCAAGAGCTAAACAAATCTTTTTTCACTCCGAATAAACAACTGGCCCATGTAATAAATCACGGATGTATTGCGACCTATATACTACCATTTCTATCATTATCATTCAGACACACTTTCAATAAACTCCTATGATAATTGTATTTGTCTGGACAATAGCAAGTTATGTTCTTCATTGCATATAAATATTTGCACTGATGTATATCACATTTCATTCTGTCCAGGCAAGAACGGAGACGATTATTTGAACATGACCTTCCCGCCAACGAAGACCTGCAAAACATTTGGCCAGCAGTCCGGCGTCTCGGTCAGCAGTGATGATCGTAGTTGGAAGATACAAGGTACGGATCCCACCAGGTTACGTTATATCACTCCACCTTTTTGAGGGGTCAGTGGCACAAAGACGTAACTCCATTTGGGCCATTTTTAGGTTTATGTTTCACTGAGCACTTGGGCCATAAGAAGTTAAGTCTATGTTTTGCTAGTCAATGACTTCAATGGGGTGTTGGGTGGAGTTAAGTCTTTGTGTTTCCTGGAAAGCCAACATTTTTCGGAACACTTGGTATCAAATACTCATTTGACAAAATATGGAGTTACGCCTTTGTGTCACTGAACCCTCGTTTTGTCTCTGATAGGCTTCTCTTAATCCATGGCGATGAGGTGATAAAGCACGCAGTTAAACGGTACCTGTGTTTAACAACCTCATTCAATGTTTCATACCTTGTGAGTTTTTACCCTAAGATAAAGGTTTGTTTTTTCTATTTCCTTGGTAAAGGTAACCATACGGTGGTAAACTTAAATGGATGACAATTTTTGTGAATCTTTGCTGACACACAACCGACCTATCAGAGCTTATAATAAGTGTTATTTCTATATTTTGTTGGATAAGGTCAGCTTCGTGTGATGAAACTCTGGTTGCAATTCTTTGCGTGTGTATCAATGTGAAGTTTATTTTTGTACAGACTTGTTTATGTCAAATCTTTTCATTTAACGCCCGGCCATCCGGGAGTCGTAACTCAGTTTCGAACCGAGGTCCTTCATAGTCAGTCTGTAAGCAAGCGAGGTGCTCTTACAGCTTGACCAACTTACATCTCCATAAGCTACACGACGTAGCTCTGAATTCAGGCTAAATGTGTGTAATACTACTCCGGTCCATGTATCCCATGTCTGCAGTGACATATTTTAAGATCAACCTTCTTTTTTTGTACAAGCTCATTAAAATAAACTTGCACAAAGAAAAATATTGTATGGTTAGGTCTTATCTATTCCATCTGAAGATGCAGGGTTTAATACAAAACTTAAGTTTTCTCATTCCTATTGGTATCATGTCATTTTATTATTTAAAAAGAACAAAATTAATCGTCTTTATTTACTCAGGCTTTTACTCAGGTTATCGGAGAAGGTTGTGACATGCCATGATATGATGTGACAGCAACAACAACAAAATGAATTACTCAAGACATTCAGATGGTAGATAAGATATTCTAGTCTGAAATCTAAAATACTTTCTAGGTTTTGGAGGCCCATTCTCAGTCACAATTGCATCGTGAGAGGCGGCCATAATACAATATTGTATTAGGGACGGTTGTAATACTGATGCCGATACGGACAAAACAGTGGTGCATGTCCCAATACCATGTGAACAAGATGATTTATTGAATTTTGATTGGTTATAATGAATCCCCCTTCAAGTCTCTTTCTCTATTCTTTTTGTTCATCATCTTTTCTCTCTCTCTCAAAATTTCTCCATTTATCTCTCTCTGTATAACCTCAATACCTCGGTAAAAGCCGAACTCATCTCTTTCAATAATTAATTTCACCGACGTTGTGTAAGAAGATATATTTTCCTATTAAGAGCTCTTCTTATTTGACATTGTAGCATATAGAACAAATTGAGAAAACAAATATGATATATTTTGAGTAACTTTCAATTCAAACGAGCTTTGTTGATGAAGCAATGTGAAACACGATTCAATGTGGATTTTCGATGATATGCGTATTATATTTTGTATTTATCTCTGTGTATTAAAAATTATCGATTAGCTTTGTAATTATGAGAAAATTATCGTATCTTAACGCCTTAATCTTATTTATATACGATTATCTTGTGCAGTTTATCATTCAATGTATTACCGTGCGAAATTTGTGCTTTCAATTATTGGCTTATTCCAAAAAGCGTGGATATATTATTATGAATATTATAAATCGTTGATTTTTTTTCTACTTTTGATACATATCATTTTAAAGTATTTTCCGTTAGTATGTCGTGTCTTAATCTACCCGAGATTGTTATACAGCTATGTTGGTACATAAGCCGCCACTGTAAGGATGATAGTATAGTAGTAGGCTATGTATAGTATGTAGCATCAGTAGCAGTCTGCGTAATATTATATAGTAGTGCAGTGTGGCTTTAAGTGGTCGTAACACATTGCCTAATATGTGTATTTTTTTCAAGTTGATGTATTTTTGGAGAGATGTGATCAATTACGATATTGTATAATAATACTATGTCTTGCATAAAATTGGTAAAATGAGTGGAGCAAATTTGTTTTCTCCATAGCTTAAAGATGCAGAAGTCTTAATAATAATTGCAGCTTTGAAAGTAGCAGAAGTATATCAATTATTTTACAATGTTATATAATTACAATAGCGATAGTATGTAGTAATAGTAGCAGCATCGACAGCAGCAGCAACAGCAGCAGTAGTAGTAGTAGTAGTAGTAGTAGTAGTAGTAGTAGTAGTAGTAGTAGTAGTAGTGGTAGTATAAGAAGTAGTACTAGTAGTAGAAGTAGTAGTAGTAGTAGTAGTAGAAGTAGTAGTAGTAGTAGTAGAGTAGTACTAGTAGTAGAAGTAGTCAGGCGCGTACGCACACGGGGGGGGGGAGTTGGGGTCAAACCCCTAAAATGTTGGTAATTTTTTTTTTTAAAGTGTTTCTACCCCCTCAAGCCACTGAACGAAATATCTGACGACGTAATTTGCCAATTTCCTGGTGCACACACACAAAATTTGCTCTTATCCCCCCCCCCCCCCCGCTTATTCAGCGGCTGGCTGAGTAGTTGCGAAATTTTCGGCGCGGTTTTCAAATTTTAAAACACCCCCTCGAAAAAAAATCCTGCATACGCCACTGGTGGTGGTAGTAGTAGTAGTAGTAGTACTCGAAATGATAATAATAATTAAAAAAAGGAGGTACCTCGCTTCTCCATTTTGAATCGGCAGTTGTGGGATAATCTATTCCCCCCCCCCTCTCTCTCTCTCTCTCTCTGATTTTGAATATGCCAACAATGACAAAGACAGACCATTAGACTTGCAAAGATGATGATCCAAATTTCTTTTCTGAAAACGCTGCTGGGAAGAAGAAAATGTTGATGTTATACTTGCAAACATTAAAAATAAAAACATTGCTGATCCGACGGTTGTCATTCCCACCCCTCCTCTATAGCTAAGCCCTGAGAAATTCAAAAGTAACAGGCATAGCATTAGCGAGAGCAGTGATTTTTAGCTGTAGATGTAGGCTCGTCAAAAGTATGTTTACGTTATGCCATAACTTTCCGGATTAGTAAACATTGGAATAAATCTGTTATGTCTTTTGATCTGATGGTTAAGACAGGTTATGGCGCCATATTCCCTATCTTAGTATCGAGTATCATTGCATTTAATATGAAATTTAGCAATGGCTCTGGTATCTTTAAATCACATGGCCGGTAGTCATAAAAACATACTATATAATAGGCCACTGAGTTTCTTCAGTCGTCTTAATGAGGGTCAAATGTCAACCTATCCACCCACAGAATTACATTAACCTGTAACTATAACAAACAAAAATCAAATCATCATGATCAAACTGACCCAAGGTCGATTTCTATTAGTATCAAATTGATTTTGTTACTGTTCTTTTTTAAAATAGAATTTTGAAAGGTTGGCACTTTGTGCCCTCTTAATCAGGGAACTAAATTATAAGCCAGGTTTCTGTTGATCCGCTTTTGAAAATTCATTGTACATGCCATTTTACTTGTGTAGAATAATCTCATTTAATATGTGCTTCGAGATAATTTTCATGTGTTACGTGTGTTACGTCTTGAACAAGAATAAAGTATGAGCTTTTTCTTTTTTTTACATACACCACGATCTTTCATGACTATTTTGTTCCTTTAATTGTTTGATATATTCCGCATATCATTTGACACTGTACGAGCAGGGGCGGCCGAGCGACTTCCAAAATGGGGGGGGGGGGCACCAACAAAAAAGGGCACTTTCTGGAAAAAAGGGGCACCTACAGTGGGAAATCTCGAAGCGAAAATATACAATTTGTTAGACATTGGTATATACCCCTACATTGTGATTACATTATCAGGGATGATTTCAATATTTGTTTCTCTTCATACATATATATCGCTTAAGCATCATACTTTACAGTTGGTGTGATGTCTGAATATGCATTTACGAGCGAGCGAAGCGAGCGAGAAAATTTTTTAAAGATCTGTGAGGTCGCAGTGCGAAAAATTACATCTTATAAAGAGGAAAAAAGCCAATCGTGACGGGGTTATAAGCACATTCTCATAACGGAAGACTGAAAAGACCTTTGATAAGTAACATAATTATATCATCTTTAAATGCGAGCGAGTGCAGCGAGCGAACTTTGGGGGAAATTGCTCTTAGTCGCTTTAAATAAGGGGCACGTTTAATGATTACATGAAAAGGGGACAATTATCGAAAGGGATAAGACACTTATTAGAAAAGAAAAGGAGCACGTGTCAAAGTAAAAGGATAATTAAAAGAGATGAAAATGAGGCATTTTTTTCACCTGAAAAGAGGCACTCACCAGGGATGAAAAAGAGGCGTTTACGAAATTGGGAAATAGGCATTTGTTGACGGAAAAGGGGCACTCATCAGATTTTGATAGGAGCATTTATAAGAGGTGAAAAGGGGATAGGTCCCTTATTAGAAAGTAAAAGGGGCACGTATCATTATTAAAAGGGGAATTATCAGAGTTGAAAAGGGGCACTGACCAGATATGAAAAGGGGCACTTATAATAAAGGAAAATGTGCATTTGTTGAATGAAAAGAGGGCACCGTTCAGATTTTTAAAAGGGGCAGTTATGACAAGGGGAAGGAGCTCTTTCTTTTAAATGGGAGCACTTATCATAAGGAAAAGGGGCACTTATTAGAAAGGGGAAGGGGTAGTTATGAGAAGGGGAGGGAGCTCTCTCTTTTTTATGGGGGTACTTATCATAAGGAAAAAGGGCACTTATTAGAAATAAGAGGGGCACATGTTAAAA